TGTATAGATTTAATTTTTATTTTTTATTAGAAGAAAAATAAAAAAAATATATAATTTTATATGAAGTATTCAGATACTGGTATTAAGTCTGAAGTTTGATCACGTGAAAGAAAAATGTATATAAAACATTCTTTAGATAATTTTGAATTGTTATCTAAGAGGAGAACAACAAGAAGAAATTAAAATAAACTTTATGTACATAATCAAAATTTCCAAAACTAATTAGTTTATAATATTCCCATCTTTTGCTAAAAACTTACTGATTCGATGTCTGAAGAGATTCAATTGTGCTTTTTTTAGTCTTTGAACACAAATTTCACCATTTAATCTAATTAATTTTATTGTCTTAGATAACAACTTAAAATTATTTAAGGAATGTTTCCTATACATTTTTCTTTCACGTGATCAATCGGCAGACTTAACAACAGTATGCACTTAGATTTTAAATAAATCAATCGATCTGATTGAATCGGAGTATTCTTTTTGGATCACTCTATATACAGAGCTGCTTTAATAAATGAGTCTTGTATCTGATCTGTCTAGAGATTTCTTTTATATTAACAATCAGGTGTAACTATTTTACATTAGTAATGTAGATTAGAGTGACGTATATGCGATATAGAACAATGAAGAGGAGTGTTTCAATATGTCTATATCTAGACATATCGGGCAATACCTACAAGTAATCATAGTTAACTTTTATATTAAACAACTTTACATGTTTGCAAATCTATTAGATTATCATTTCTATCTTTCAAAAAGCCTCGAAATGACATATAATATATCATAGATTGATATTCTCTATCATCTTTCTATCAGTTTCATGTTTCCGTTGCCTTTTCTTGCAATCGAATGAATACGAAACTGCTGAGAAGTAGAAAAAAATTAAGATCAATTATCTCGAATAAATATTCTATTAAAAGATTAGCAAATCTTTTTTTTTTCGTTTACAATATTTAGATGCTTTCATTCTTGTCTTAGATAGATAAATTTTCAAATTATTTAACGTCTACATTTTTTTTTATATTTAAACGAAAAAAATACTAATCAAATCACAGACAAGTACATTGTTTAACAATAGCATTTTTAATTGGATAGATTTCGATACTTCCATCTGGTTGTCGAAGAAGAAAATTATCATCAGTATATTGAGATGGTACACATTTAAGTTGAGGAATATTCGAATTTTTTTTACTAATCAATGACTGTATATATGCATGCCATGATATTAGTTGTGATTGTTGTGATAATGTCAAATTTGAACACGAACCATCACAATAACTAAATGTATATTCTTTTGGTCGAATAAATAAATTAGCTAAACCAAGTTCTTCAAATTTAATTTGAATCGTTTTTACTTTACATATAGTTTTTTCTTGGGGCGATTCATTTGAAATCAAAGAATTCGATCTTAATGATGACATTATAATATAAGTCTGTAGTGTTTGACATGTTTGATTATGAATAATTGTTTCAATAATTACATTTGGATTATTTATTTGTAAAAAATAATCATACATATTAAGAAAATAAAAATTTCGAATAGAATCAAATTGTAAATATGTATTAATCGATAATAATTCTTCAAATGTTCGTAATTGTTTTATTAATATTTTTATAGGTATTTTTAATGGTTTGATTTCAGTTGAATTTATATCATAAATAAGTTCAATTGACGATAAACTTGTAATTGTATCAGACCATTGAAATGTTGATTGAGTTTGATTATTATTTATTGTTAAACAATTTTTTGAATGCAATGTATACATAGGAGTTAAGGAAAATGGTTTATTGGTTATATGTTTTCTACGTCTACGATTTTTAACTATAAGATAAATCGAAGATTATTTTTAAGAAAAAAAATATATTAATTTGATTGAAAATACGAACTCTGTTCTAAATTTGTTGTTAAATAATGATTTGTAATCATTGATTGAATTAATGGTGAATGAGATATATTAAGTAAATCAATAAAATATTGTCTTAGAAAAAAATTACGATACGAATTATTTGATATTAATTCCGAATGATGATAAGTTGATGATGATTGTAATGTCGTTATTGAAGCAGAATGACAAGAAGATAATCGAAAGATAATGAAAATAGAAAGAAAAAAATTCGATAAGAATAATTCTCGATACATTACACCGTTATAATCTTTAGAGATAAATAATAATGATGATGATGATGATAATAGTATTGTTGTCGAAATGATTTTAATAATATAATTGAATTTTTATTCATTACGTAAACGATAATATAAGAATGAAAATATAAATTTCGATTATGAGTTGAATATTGAAATAAATATAGTGATTTAACATAAACAAAATTAATACAAAAGTATTTAGTATTTTTTTTTCTGGGGAATAAGTAAAATCTATTATTTAATCGATCGCCTACACATAAGATAGACAGTATGCTTGAGTCTTATCATATGTAACTACAAGTATGTTCGGTTTATCTATGTGCAGTTATTCAGAGACGCAACAGAGAATGTACTTGTTCTTATGTTATTATTCATTACTCGGTCTTGTACAACCAACATTCTCACAGTTTCGAGAAACATGGTTCTATTTATCATATACAAAATGAATCGATGACTATACATCTAAAAAAGAAATATATATCTGTCCGAATATGAACTTTTGTTAATTAAAAATCTAACATTGTCTTTTATTCAATGCCACATAACTAAAAGTTATGTTTTCGATATGTTGAGATTCCTTGTATTATGAGAATCAAATAAATAAGAATAAGGATTGATAAGAGTGTGCATGTTTAGAACGGAATAAAAAATTTCCAGAACGATGATAATAGTTAGTTTTTATCTATGCTGTTTTTTTCGATGTACATCGAAGGAAGTACTGACTAATATTATGTCTTCTGTCATGTTGCAGAACATGCTACAGAAAATGCACTTGGTCGTTATTTTTTTTTGTTTGTTTGGTAGAATATTAATAATTCACCAGTATCTGTAGAGTCGATTTCAAAATACAAAAAAAACAAAATACTCAAATATATGCTTTTATTATAGCTTGATTTCAATTAACTATTGTTTTGATGAAATTTTCTTAACAATAGATGTTTACAATTATATAATGGGGTGATACAAAAAAACGTGAAGGAATTTGTACTTATATATTAAATAAATTTTTTTATACGCAAATAACTAAAAATTAATCTAGTATTTTAGATTTTTATTGGTATTTTTCTATTTGTCTATGTTCTTGGTGTGCTTTTGAGTATTTTCAAGAATGAATCATAGGTTAGTTTTTATTATACATAGTTTATAATAATTGACAAAAGGCTCGCATAGATTTCTCACAATAAACTAATCTGAAAATATGTAAACTAGGGGTGTTACTTTATTTTTATTTTACTTTATAATAAAGAATAAAGTAACAAAAATCTTTATCTTTATTTTATAAAGAATAAAGATTTACTTTATTTCTTTACTTTATTTTTAAAATAAAGATTAACTTTATTTCTTTACTTTATTTTTAAAATAAAGATTAACTTTATTCTTTATAAAATAAAGATAAAGTAGATCTTTATTTTAAAAAATAAAGTTAAAATAAAGAATAAAGAAAATATTTTCAAATGATTAGTAATTAGACAAATTATTGATATATAAAGAGATAATATTGATCGCAGTTTTTTCTGACCACCAGCCGCATTCTAATAAGGAATAATGCTAGCAAATGAACGTGGGGCATAAGAGATTTATGGAAAAAATTTCTTTATTCTTTATTTTAACTTTATTTTTTAAAATAAAGTAACTTTTTCTTTATCTTTATTTTATAAAGTAAAGATTAACTTTATCTTTATTTTATAAATATAAAGATTTACTTTATTTCTTTATCTTTATTTTTAAAATAAAGATTATCTTTATTCTTTATAAAATAAAGATAAAGATTCACTTTATCTTTATTTTATAAAGTAAGGATAAAGTAACACCCCTAATGTAAACAGCCTATTGGTATCACATGCTTTTGTTTTATTTTGAAGACATATACACATGTATATGATGTCTGATGATGTAAAAGTAAACAAAATAGATTTGAACAATTTTTGTATTATTTTTATGAATAAGTAAAAGTATTTTTCATCAACACTAATGAATATAATTGTAATCTTCCATTTTCTGATAGTACTGATTTTAGATAGATCTATAAATGTGCTATAACTTTGCATTATATACACATATATTTTATTTGGATACAACAAAACGAAAGTGCATATGTAATTTTGTCTTCAACTTAATAATGTTCGATATTTATGTTGATAACTCTATACGTATAAAAGCTTCTATATCACTTAAGGGTGTGAGTGTGGGTGTGCGCGTTATATTCTTCTTAAATCTGCACTCATACCCACATCCACTACAACTACCCCTCAAAAAATATAATCTTGTTGTTTTTTGCACATTACTGATATGTTGCTTGCGTTTGTTGAGATATATAAAAAATAAAATTTATCTCCTTTCATATTTTCAATGTGAATCAGAATCTTGCTAAACTATCATATTCAAAAAGCTTAGATACATGATTTTACATAAGATATCCAAGACAACAAAATATAAAAATAGCATCAAATATTTTTATTAAATAAAGTTTATCTCCATGTTTTGTTGTCATTAACGGTATTTAGATGTACGTATAAGATTATAATTTTAAGTTACTGTTTCTTTATTTTATTTAAATATCATTTTAAGTGATGTATCCAAGACATACACTAGAATAAATATATAACAAAAAACTGTAACAATACTAGATAAAAACAAAAACCTTTAACAATAATAAATAAAAACAATAACTGACATATGCAGAATATGAAAATATTAGAAAAATAATCTGATCTGACGGCTTATCTTGGAAATGAGTTTTAAAATGTTGCTAAATGATCACAAGGTATACAAGCTAATCTTATTTCTTCTGTTAAACAAAGAACACAAGGATTCAATGACGTTGAATTTACTAATTGATCCTGTTCAGTGCTAGTTGAAGGTATTGATTTGTTTGGTTTTATGTGATTTTGATCAGCAGATTTTGCTGATTTTGTTGTTGAATCAACTGCAGATTGTGAAGATATAGATTCATTTGTTGATAATGTAGTCATATTAGCATCAGTAGAATCTTTCATTGATTGATTTGCAATTGCTGTTTGTTCTTGAGTACGCATTTCTATCAAATAAATTAAATAATAAAAAATTCTTAAAACATTTTCTCAAAAAACTTACCATTCTGTTCTCTAATTTGTTTCATTTTTATACTTGGTATAACTATGTTTTCTTTTTTACCATCAATGTATTCGTTCTGTTTCTGAAGAATTAAACAAGCAATATATAAATCACACTCTGATATAAAATCATCTTCTAAAAAAAAGAAAAAGAACATTGAAAATTATAAAATAATATATTTCATTTTGTTTAACTTACGCTTCAATCTTAATTGATCTTCCCAACATCGTT